CCGATCAAACACCTCAGGTGAAGTAGATCAAGATGTTCAAGAAAATCAAGCGAATCTGCTTGGCAGATCTTTGCCCAGAGCTACCAGTCTGTAGCACAGCACGAGAAGGTGAGGAGGGATCTTTCTCACTATTCCGGCACATCTGCAGCAGGCTGGCAGGAGTAAGCACATGCTGGGATGCACCGGGACATTGAGTGAAAAGCCCCTGGACAGACTGCTGGGTGCTTCTCGTTCATGTCTCAAGCGTCAAATCAGGGTACGGCCCTTGACTGAAGGCTGGATGAAATGCAGCTGAGTGATGACTGGCAGCAAGACAGGCGAGACTTGAGTTCACTGTTATTCACCACAACAGGTTGAAAACCACTGGGGTATAAAGAATAGCGGAGGCCCCTTCTGAACCCACTACTGTCACTAATATAGAAACCATAATAACTCATTGATAAACCTTCAGAGTAGAAATGCACAAAACACCCCTATGTACAGTAACGTTCTTGTTTACATCAACTGGGTTAGGAATTCGACGCAAGGATTGCCACTGGTTGTTATTTGTTTTAGCTACGTGATTGGGACTTGTCTGGAAAGAGCGAGATCGTTTGGGATAATTCGTATCGGCAGCTGCTGACCCCACTGCTGCTGCTGAGCCGCTGGTGCGACGTGGAGGCGGCGCTTGGTGTGGGGTTGTGTTGCACACCCAACCTCCACCTACAGATGACTGAATCCCCTTAGCCATGCATGGGCAGTTCCAGTCTTTAGTCCGTCTCTGGAAAAGGTGGTTCTAACTGGCTCCCTTCTTCTCCCATTCCTGCCAGGGAATAAAGGCAAATTAGTCAAAAGGCAAATCTGGCAAGCCGCAGCAGCCGCAAGGTGCGCAGGATCAACCCCCTCGTCTGGCACCCAGGTGCTTCTGGCTGCAGGGTGGCTCAGGGATGTCTCTCTGTTATACACAACACACACATTCAGTCATTTAAATCGCAGCCAGGGCAAGCCCAGGTGAAAAGATCAGAGGAAAAGCAGGCGGGCCTGCTCCAAGTGTGCTTGGTCAGGGGCGCTGCCCAGATGCGAGACCCCCCCCACCCCCGACCCCCCTGAGCCGCCAGTCTGCTCCGCTGCCAGGAGGGAAAAGCACTGGCTGTCCCAGATGGACTTTTCTCCAAACTGGTGCGTTACCTTAGCTTTCTGTAGGACTGTTCCCTTCCCCGTCACCATGACGGATAAAGGCCGGTTTTTTAAAGCCGTTGCTGAATTGACTGGCGAGTTCTCTGCGCTGTTTGCCGGACTGGCACTTTTTGCCTGAATCTGCAATAAAAATACTAGAAATGGTGACTTCAGACGACCGAGACTGCTGCCTCTCCCCACCACCTCCTCGTCACAGTCACAGCCCACTTGCACGGAGGCCCATTTTTTTCAGTGACACACCAATTTCAGAACACCACCAGGATGAGTGCAGGTGGTGTGTTTGGGGGTTGAGCGCTCAAGCAGAGGTACAGAGCGGGGCTCAGGCAGTGACCATCTCCATTTCATGGGAACCAAGTTCCCAAGAAGATATTTAGATGTCTGAATCTCCCCACAAAAAAACACCCCTAGGCTCAGCTGAGCGCAGAAGGAGCTGGGTGCAGCCCTGCTTGTCCCTGGAGGGTGTTGCTCAAGGTCCCACAGGGAAATAGAGCCGCTCTCCTGACCCTCAGCCCCCTTTCCCCCCCCTGCTGCCGCTGCTACCTCATTATATTATTATTATGTATATTATATACAATAATACTTAGATAATATATAAATATAGTATGCACATTTTTAGAAGACTACATATTATGATAATACAATACTGTTATTAATTATTATATTATTAAGCAGGCTGAGACAGCGCGAGTGCCCAGCTGCTGGAAAGCCGCTGTGCATCCCAGGGGTGCCCCCCACATACCCGTGGGGCTGCGTTCTCCAGGTGCGTGGTGTCCACCGCGGTACCCAGCGTCACGGGGCCAGACTCTGCCTTCTTCAGGTTCTCCTTCACCTCCACCAGGCTCAGCTCCAGGTCCACTCTCCGGCTCTCCTTCCTTTTGCACTCTTCTTCTATCTCCTTCAGCCTCTGCTCCAGGCTCTTGTCTGTGAAGGTAACTTTGGTCAGGAACTTGGGAAGCTTGTGAGGGGAGCAGGGACTGGGGCATGTCCTGTAGGTTTTCCTTGTATTTTGCCCCAAGAAGGACTCTGACTGATCAAGCTCTTGCTCTAGTGCAGTTTGGGCTATGTGGTTCAGCTCAAAGCACCAGGTTTCCCCCTGCCCCTTCTGATCCCGGGGTCCATGTTCATTGTCCCCTCCCTCCCCGTGGTCCCACCTTGGCTGGTTTCCACGCATCACCCCTTGCCCTGCTCTACCTGTGCTGCCCGCGAGCACTTCCTTCAGCTCCCGCCTCTCCTTGCGCACCTGGGTGAGCTGAGCCCGGATTTCGTCCTTCTCCTTCTCCAGCCGCTCCTTCTCCTCCGTGAACCGCTTCACCTCCGCCTCCGTCCTGTTCTTGCCCAGCTTGGTTTCCACTGCTGCCACTGGAAACGCAACCCACCAGAACAAGCTCAGCCAGGGGAAAACGCAGGAGGGAAAACCTTTTCAGGAGCTTGGAAACAAAACGAATGGGGATCTGGAACGTCACCAGCCGAGACTCTTATCAGCCCCCCAGGCACGGCAAAGCTACTGTACAGCAGTGGGAAGCTGAACGCACGCGTGGAGCAGCACCCCCCTCCCAGCCCCTGCCGCAGCGGGCACCCACGGCCACCGGCGCA